CCCTTCTGGGGCTGGAGAGATGGCTCAGAGGTTAAGAGCACTGACTGTTCTTCCAAAGGTCTTGAGTTCGATTCCCGGCAACCACATGGTGGCTCACAACCATCTGTAATGAGATCTGGTGTCCTCTTTTGGCCTGCAGAGATACATGCAGACAGAATGCTGTATACATAATAAATAAATAAATTAAAAAATTATTTATTTTAATGTTATGTGTATGGATGTTTTGCTGGGAACTAATCTCTGGTCCTCTGAAAGATCAGCAAGTGCTCTAAACCTCTGAATCAGCTCTCCTGTGTCCTTTTTATAAAAATTGGGATTTATTTTTTAAATGTATGTGTAAGTGTATGTGCATGCGTGGGTCCGTGCATGCGTGGGTCCATGCATGTGAGCACAGAGCCTGAGGAGCTGTTGAATCCCTCTGAAGCTGTTGTCAGAGGTGGCTGTGAGCTGCCTGACGAGAGTGCCGGAAAACGAACTCAAATTCTTCACAAGTTCATATAAGCAGTACAAACTATTTACTGCTAATCCATCTCTCCAGCCTGCGCTCCATCATTAACTGGTCAAAGCCTTTCTGTGTCTGTACAGGTGAAAACCAGTCTTTGCTAAAGCCTTCCTCTACAAAAGCCTCATCCTTGGCTGGACTTGGCCTGGGGTGGCCCCACTGTCCAGCTGAGCTGGCAAGTCCAGGCTTGATAAAGAGCCTTTCGGAGCTAGGGTCGAACCCTCTGGAAGGCGCGAAGGCACAGGGGAAGCCGCCGAGCTGGTGTTCTACTCACCTGTCTGAGGAACCGATCATTGATGAGATCGACCACAAGGACCTGCAGGGCAGAGGAAAGGCCATGAGAATTGTCTGGAGTTATCTTCCTCCTCGGTACTGAAGCAGCTGGAGGTCGGGTGAATGCATGTGTCTGTGTGCTCTGATGGACTGAGCAGTGTCCAAACTGTACTGAAGGCTGGTGTCAGCAGCTGGATTCTCAGCCCTGTTCTCACTACAGGAGGGTTTCTCTGTTTCTTTCTGTTTGTCTGTTCATGGGTTACTGGGGGGGGGGGGGAGTGACAAAATATGCCAGAGGTCCCTACTTTCTGCAGTTCTACTTAACTCTGCCCTACTCCACGCTGGGGGTTCACCTTTTCATCCCTGAGCTCTTCCCTGCACCCGACGGTTCTCCAGAGGGATAAGAGAAGACACTAGCAGAGGAGTGTGGTCTGGGGGACACTGTCAGGCTGCATGCCCTTGTTAGCCATAGTTTTGGGGAGGGAGCACGTCTCTCCTCAGTGTGGGCTAAGATGTGGAGCCAGGACAAGGGTGGCATGAGCAAGATGCCAGTACGAAAAGCTTAAGGGCATGCGTGTGTGCTGCCTGAGAGAGGACCCTTATGCAGACCATGAGGTGGCCAAGGGAAGACAGTGTGTGTGGGGGATGGCCTGGACACGGCTGGAAACGGGCTCTGCCATGCTGAGAGACCCTCACAAGCTCCTTGTCTTCACAGAATGAAAGAACGAGCATCCCCAGTCCTGAGATAACGAAGCAGATGTAGCAATTCTTACCAAGTTCAGAGCTGAATTTGGTTTCTGTTTCTGACTGCTGGGGTTCCCTGAATACGGGGCAGTTCACAAACTAGAGGAAGGGGACTGAATACTGCAAAGGTGTCACAAAGAACTTCCTGCCCTGCACACTGGTCTATAAAAATCCTGAGTGATATTACAATCATTGGTGGGTTTATTTCATAGTGTCTTGTTACTAGCCCAGGCTGACCTCAAACTTGAGATCCTCTGGCCTTGCCTGGTGAGTGCTGGGGCGCAGGGGTGCGACACCCACACCCAGTTTTGTGGATGTATTTTTCCTTTCTTTAATTCTAGCCTTCATTATATAGAATTGTTTCTTGTACTGGGGGTTGGACCTAGCAGCTCCTGCATGGTAGACAGGTACTCTACCACAGAGCTACTTCCCTGGCTGGCCCTGTGGCCTCCCATCCACCCCATTATTGTTGCACATGAGTGTGTGTGTGTGTGTCCAGCACTCCCCTCCTCTCTGTGTGCCCTGGGGAAGGAGGGTGCAGGGATCCGATCGGGGCTCACCTCTTCCAGTGGCAGCTCCTTGAGCAGCGGCAGCGAGCTGGAGAGCAGCCCGATGAGGAAGGGCGTGGGTGAGCACACTATGTCAATCATGGCGGGGGGCAGCACTGGGATATAGGTGTGTTGCCAGCTGAAGGGGTAGATGAGCGCCACCATGGCATGGCAGCACTTGGACAGCGTGCTGCAGGGGACAGACAGAGACAAGGGCCGGTTCAGGGTGGGTGAGGGTGGAGATTCCATAGCAGGGGCTGGAGAGAAGGGTTGGGATTCATCCCAGCGAAGGACTGGTTAGAACAGACAGTTCTCAGATGAACAAACAAATGGCCAACATGCCTATAAAAAATGTTCAGTTTCACTAACCATCAAGAGAAACGTAGGCCAAAACTGCACTGAGATTACCTCTTACCCCAGTCAGAATGGCAGCCATAAGGAAAAAATGGCAAAAGCGCTTGCTCAAAGATGATGACCCGTGTGTGGTTCCAGAACCCACAGTGAAGGGAGACAACAGGTCCCTCAGAGTTTTTCTCTGCACATGCTCTTTAATACACCCATAAAATAATCAATAATTTTTTTTAAGAGATTTATTTATTTGGGGGCTAGGGAGATGGCTCAGTGGTTAAGAGCATTGCCTGCTCTTCCAGAGGTCCTGAGTTCAATTCCCAGCAACCACATGGTGGCTCACAACCATCTGTAATGAGGTCTGGTGCCCTCTTCTGGCCGGCAGGCATACACAGAGACAGAATATTGTATACATAATAAATAAATATTTAAAAAAAGATTTATTTATTTATTT